ATATTATGCTGATTGAATACTTAGAAGTTGCTTTTTGTAGTTCAGGAAAATTTGCACCAGCAGTTTCGATCACGTTTTTCAGATAAAGCTAAAATAAAAGCATATTTGTCAGAAGGTCTAAACTTCCATATAGCGAGAAATTATCTGTAAAAGCATGGCTTCAATTATACGACTAAGTGGCGGCTCCAGTAGGGGGCTCCTGGGGTTGAAACCCCCTTTTTGACGATCAATGCTTTTGAATAGGGACATATGGTTGGAACCCCCACCCCTTTTATCCTGGGTTAGAACCCCCTAGACAAATTTAAATTTAAAAAACTCAAAACTCAATCTTTAAAAGTATACTTGGGGTTCATGGAAAGTCTTTCATATTAGCAGTCCGATGTGAATTGGGCGTATAACCTGTTAATATAAAGTGTTACCAAATTAAGAAGCACTAGACAACATTAATCTGAACACAAAAAGAATAAGTGCACACTCATTAGCCATAAAGACTGGACTGGTAGATATACTATACAAAACCGCAATAATACTCTCCAGATACATCATCAGTATATCAGAGACATATATATGGTGTACAAATTTTTGCACCTCATGTTTGCGATATTCCAATCTTTTCCGCAAACTTATTGTTTTCTGTTTGGTAATAAATTAATAATAAGATCCATTTTGTTACATCTGGTGATCCGTTTATTTGGCAATCGCCAATGGCAGTCAGCAGGGTTTAAGAACATCAGTTGTTCGACCTGCTAGTCAAATGCGTTTTGTCAGTTAAAATATACTTTTTCACTTTTCTGGTCTTTTGGAAAATGTTGTTTGTGCTGTATTTAGATCCCTCTACCAAGAAATTTGTATTGCATGCACACGTATAAAAATTGCGGTTTTTATCCAACGCAATCATAGGTTTGAACGTTGTTTTCAATTAAGACTTGTCTCTGATTATATATATATATACTCTCTAATGAGAGATTTTGTAAACTTTTCAGCACAGGACATGTTGAAAATGAGATACATTCATTGATCAAATGTACACGGTTTACCAAAATTGTATCTAAATATCACATCAAAGAAATAAATACAAATAATTTGAAAGAAAATTTTACTAAATTTGATCAAAATGATAGTACGTACATGTAAGAGATAAATTTGTCCTTTATTTTAAAAGGTAAATATAATTTTATGTTTTAATATTGTTTAAGAGTTGTGTATCAATTTTTTTAATAAAATTTATGTCTCCAGACTAATTTTCCTATGAAATCATGTCCATGTCATTAATATTCCTAGGTAACAATTATCGTCCATGTCCTTTATTTAAAAAGGAAAATTTTAATGAAACAAATTATTTACATGTAAACAATGGAAATTCAATTTTCATACGACCGCAAAAAAATTTTCTGGTCGTATATTGGTATCACGTTGTCGTCGTTGTCGTCCGAAGACAGTTGGTTTCCGGACAATAACTTAAGTGCATACGATACAGTTTTGATCCCGTAATGAAATTTTGATGAAAATTTGCATATAGGCTATTTTTTACCTGATTAAATCAAATATGCAAAAAAAAAATATACCATCATGTGCTACTTTTTGAGTAAATTGAGGTTTAAATTTCAGATATTTCCTCAAAATTCGGATTTGTGGACGTATTTTTCCTTTCGACAGAAATACATAACTTTTTTGTTTTAAAAGATAAACACAAGCTGTATTTTGTTAAATTATTTGTAATTTCTGTTTTATATAAATGTTCTATAAATTTGTACATTTTATTTTTACAAATAACTCATATTTATCAAATGTTCATGAATGTAGAAAAAAAACGTCATTTTTGCTGTATATTTATCAAGTTTAAAATAATTGCACTATTGACTTTTTTCATGAAAATTGGTACACATAATCTTCATACATAATCAAACCAAATTTCATTTTAAAAAAGAAGGGTCCATGAACTCGTTTTCAAGTTAAATCAGTTTGAATGATAAAAATCAGTCGAAAACTGCATCTTTTCCCGATAAGTCACAGTTTGACGTCGCGAAAATAACAATTTACGTTAGCAACGTCATTACTTCCCCTGTAACTGTATCGTATGCCCTTAAGTATAAGTAAATAGATATCTATGAAATTTAAACACAAGGTTTATAACCACAAAAGGAAGATCGGGATTGATTTTGGGGATTATGGTCCCAACAGTTTAGGAATTAGGGGCAAAAAAGGAGCCCAAATAAGCATGTTGTAGTTTCCAGACAATAACTTGTGTTTAGGGTAGATAGGGTGTCTTCCTCCATCTTGGATTTTGAAATACCAGAAAACAGTCGGTCTAGATTTATAATAAAAGGTGCAAATTTTGAGAGTAGGTGGTAATTCATGTGTAAGAATATTCATTTCAATATAGAAAATGACATATTTTATCATATTTATGGTTGTATTTTACAAAAAAAAAACCAGAATACTTTTGTTTGATTCTATTTTTTCCAACTTTGCCACATAAGGGGAGGCAACTCAAATGTAAGGGCAGATAATTCACATAATGTTACTTTTACAATAGAATGTGTTAGGAATTTACCTATTTTATTATGTAGCAAGAAAACGGGTCCGGCGACCCCATTTTTTCTTTTTCTTATCTGAAAGCATACTATTAGACCTATCTTCTCATATTTTATCTCAAAATTCTATGGTGTAGTTTTCATTTTATGGCAGAAAATTGGGTTTTCCATGCATAACCTATACAAAATCTGTCAATTTTGCACAACCTGTAGCGTGAAAATAAGGCCCGTGACCCATTCTTTTTATTATTTTTTTTTAAAAAGCATGATATAAACTACATTTTGGCAAATTATTAAAAAATTCTATGGATTATAATTTAGACACCCCATCTACCTTAAGTGTATGAATCTCTCTGAAATTATACCACAAGTTTCCATACCAAAAAGGGATGGTTAGGATTGACTTTGGGAGGTTATGGCTTAAACCATTTAGGAATTAGGGGCAAAAAAAGGGGAAAAACAAGGGTTTCCTGGTTAATGGACAATTTTAAAGCAGTGTAAGGGAGGTAATCCAATCACATTTAATATACAATGTTGTGTATGTTTTTGGATTACCTCCCTTACACTGATTAACATTAATTTTAGCCTTGATTATGTATGTCATTTTCTATTTTAAGACTTTTATGATGTATTTTAATGGGTAATTATGGTTGCAAACTCCATTAGAAATCTGAATTGAGATTATGACCTTATCTTTAGGGAAAGAATTTTTTTTTGGAAAAAGGGGAAAGGGTGGAATTGAAAAACAAAATTTAGGGGTGGGGGAGGGGAAATATGAAATTGTGTGGGGGGGGGGTACAATTTTTTCTCATTTCAGATTTCAGAAACAAAAAGAAAATTTCTTAAAATATTATTTATTTTTGCAAAAAAGATGAGGGGTCAATACGCAACAGCATAGCGTATTGCACAAAAGCATAAATTGAATATAAATTCAAATCATATTACCAATTCTAAGTTCTTTGACTACAGTTATTTTGTGTCAGAAACCTATTTTGTGTCAGATATTAAATACAATCTAAATTCAGACCTGGACCTGTATTAAGCGCGAATATTATGTCCATTTTTGCCCCAACTGTTCAAGGTAGGACATCTGCGGTCGTATCCAGCTGCGCTCAGCGAAGCAATTTATTATGTTTTAATATGGTTAAAGAGTTGTGCATTAATATTTTAATGAAATTCATGTCCCCAGACTAATTTTCCTTGGAAATCATGTCCATGTCATTGTTATTCCTAGGTAAAAACGTCCATGCCCTTTTTTTTAAAGGTAAATATAATTGTTATGTTTTAATATTGTAACAGTTTAAGAGTTGTGTATCAATTTTTTTAATAAAATGTATGTTCCCAGACTAGTTTTTCTTTGAAATAATGTCCGTGTCATTAATATTCCTAGGTAAAAACGTCCATGTCGTTTTTTTAAAGGAAAATTTTAATGAAAACAATTATTTACATTGAAAACAATGGAAATTTAAATGTTATGTTTTAATATTGTTTAAAAGTTGTGTATTTACATTTTTGATAAAATGTATGTCCCCAGACTAATTTACTTAGGAAATCATGTCCCTGTCATTAATATTCCTAGGTAAAAACGTCCATGCCCTTTATTTTAAAAGGTAAATATAATTGTTATGTTTTAATATTGTTTAAGAGTTGTGTATCAATTTTTTTTAATAAAATGTATGTCCCCAGACTAATTTTTCTAGGAAATCATGTCCATGTCATTAATATTCCTAGGTAACAACGTCGATGCCCTTTATTTAGAAAGGAAAATTTTAATGAAACAAATTATTTACATGTAAACAATGGAAATTTAATTTTTACGTTTTAATATTGTTAAAGAGTAGTGCATTAATATTTTAATGAAATTTATGTCCCCAGACTAGGTTGTAACGTCCAATGTCCTTTGGGAATTAGAGGAAAAAATTACTGGAACTTTCCAATCTTAACTTAGAAAATGTGTTTTATTTATTTTCAATAATTTTATAATATAAAAATTACTAGAAAAACAAGTCTTAGGACAATTTTTCCTAGAAAAATAAGTGCCAGACATATTTTACTAGCTATGGACTTATTTTCCTAGGAAAATTTGTCCTGGGACTTACATTCCTAGTAAAATAATTATCATGGACTTGATTAACTAGGAAAAAAAGTCTGGCGGACACATTTTACTACCGGACCAAATTTACTGTTACATACACACTGTATATACAAGGATTTGTAAAGTACTATACAAATCCTTGATATGGTGAATATATAATGAAACATTTGTTATCTATATACAGTATATGGATATGACTCTGTTGTGCTCTTTCCAATAGAATATTGAATATATAACTGTAGATCTACAATACACCAAAAAAATATGTCCGTTATTACACATTACTTTTGTTCACAAATTTTGGTAATAAACTGCACCAGTTTTGGGGTTATAAATGCGTTTAATAAACTCTTAATTTTCAAGCCGAAAGAAGTACTTGATGACGTAGATTGACGGATTTTGACAAATTGACAATATTTGGCGTGGCGTCGACTGGTTTGGAGGAAACATTCATTTGTTAAGACCGATAATAACTCGAAAATGACACAGTATATTCAGGTTAGCGAAGATGAACACGATGAACCAATTGAAATACCAAGTGAAACAGATGGCACACTCCTTCTTTCAACATTAGCAGCACAGTACCCAGGGGCCTGTGGACTGAAATACAGAAATCCGTCAACCGGAAATTTCCGCGGTGTTCGATTAAACGAAGGGCTATTGTATCCTCCAGATAATCAATGGGGAGACCATGTTTACATTGTAGTTTTTCCAAAAGGTGCTTACACTAAGAATTTGCATTAACATATTAACATGAGATGTAGGCAGGTCAAGAATAACCATTAATTGGTGGATTGTTATTCATTATACCTCAATTCAGGTATAATCCACCATTTGACATATAGACCAAGTGAGGTATAATGCAGTTTTTATTCACAAAATTGTTTAATGAGATATCCGAGCATCTTTTTGCATATACCATCTTAAGCTTTGATGAGTATAGTACTCATTGGAGACATGTTATATTTATCTTCTGACTTTTGTGTTGCGTTTTGTGAAAATGTAGATTATACATGTACATCAATTGAGTTATAATCCACTATTTGATCAGTCTGCAACGTTAAGCGGTAGCCCAAAGCCCCTGACTAGTAAAAATCTCATCGGACTTGTGCAGAAGCACTGGTGATTGCCCGACCGGTCTAGTGAACATCTGAAATCGTTTGCGAAATTGTAGCCGTTATTTTATTGAATCTATATAAACAAGTTATAAATTTGTCGCCGACATTGTTTTCATCCGTTAACTGGTATCCCTATTCAATTATATACAGTTGATCACCCTTCTAATAAAAGGAAACCAGTCGTCAACACGATATAGGCTGTGTTTGGGTATACGCCAGAGGTGGCCTATGGTTATCCATGGGTACCTTTGGTTTGATATTCTACATGTATATATCAAAATATCAAACCATTGGTACCCAAACATACTTATGGGAACCATAGGCTGCCTTAGGCGTAATATCCAAACACAGCCATAATTAAAGACCAATGAAATCGAGAAAGAGACTCAACCACGTGCTTGCAATAAACACAATCTATAAATACCGCTCAATGTAAACAAACAATCAAGAATTCGATCTCATTCGATACTGAAATGGAAACCGGGGTCTATCTAAGGTAAAACATTGAAAAGTTGATAATTCCAACATGAATAACCGGAAAAGTTTCGAGTTGTAAAAACCTATGCAGAAAATGATCTAGGCATTTTATTATTTTTTTTTAAACAAAATTAACGAAAGTGACAATATAGAGGGTATTGATAGGTTTTTTTTTTTAGGATAAAGAATAATGGGCAATAAAACATAAAGAATATTTGTTTACAGAAAAATCGCCTAAAAAATAAAGAATTGAGAAAAATGAGGTTTTAAAATAGCATAACAAAATAAATAATAAAGAAATGAACCTGATGAAGGCCCCTTCCAGATCCAAAAGAAGTGCCAGACTTGACTGACTTACTTTCCCCCTAAAAAGTAACAATCCGTAAGTTGAGTAATAATTTACTAGGGCTTATTTTACTTGAAATGATACAATTTTATGGAAAAGAATTTTTTTTTTTTTTTGGAAAAAGAACTATTATAATTTTTTATTGGACCTGGGGAAAAAAACAAAATTTTTTGATAAGCTATATTCACTTTCAGATACAAAAATGTAACCTCAGAATGCAGGATTTTACATCTAATCTTCCAAAATTTTCTTGGGGGGGCATGCCCCCAAACCCTCCTAGGAGGCTCGGATCACTTCGTGATCCTCACCAGTGACACAAAATTTTTCAGGTCTAGTATACATCAATTCGGGCTAGTTTTTTTTTAATCAACTAGCCCTATGGGCTAGTGCTTGGAAATGTTTTTGGCACAGACTGTTTGATGGATATTCACGACTGGTTTCCTTAAGCAGTCAAGGGTATAACTTAAATAAGTTATCAGAAAAAAATAACATACATATTGTTATTGTGGGCTAAAATATAAAAAAAACTGTGATAACATATGTATGTTACATGTTTCAAAGTGGCAAATTATATACATCCTCTGTTTTGTTGAAATGTATACAAGTTCTATTGACATTGTTATTGTCTTTATGCGTACTAAACTTTAGTACGATATAATAGTTCATAGCTTGGTGATCATGCATAGTACACCTATGCGAAAGATTGCAAAATTTTTAGTTTCCATTCTGTAACTTAAGTTTGCCCCAACAAAACATTATGAAACCTATACACAATATTCATTACCACAAAACTAAGATCAAGTACAAATTTTTTGTTTCCGTTTTCTAACTTTAGTTTGCCTCAACCAAATGTTATGAAACTTATACACAATGCTTATTACTATTAACACTTTTACCATTCTTGAGTTATGTCCCTTTATAAACATAAAAATTGCTTTAGTTTGTCTCAACCAAATGTTAAAAAACTTATACACAACCGTTCTAGAGTTATGGGTGTTTACAATAGAAAAATTGCTGAATTTTTATACGCCCGTCAATTTTTGACAGGATGTATTATGGTATACAAATGTCCGGTGTCTGTTCGTCTGTCTGTCTGTCTGTCCGGCATAAACATGTCGCACCGTAACTTGAGAATGACTTATCCAAATTTCAAGTAACTTAACATAGTTGTTTCTTATGATGGTCAAACGATCTGTATACTTTTTGGTGAAAATAAGATTAAAACTTTTTGAGTTAAAGGACTTAGTAACTAAAACAGGTGTGTGGTTTTTTTCACATGTCGCGCCGTATCTCAAAAACAATTTATGATTATTGCTTAAAACTTTACACACTTCTTAGTTATATTAATCTTAAGATCTGTATACTTTTTGGTGATGATTCAAAATTTTATTTTAGAGATATTGAGTATTTTGTTAAAAAAGGGGGAGAGGTTTTTCACATGTCGCGCTGTATCTCAAAAACAGTTTATGATTATTGCTTAAAACTTTACACACTTCTTAGTTATATTAACCTTAAGATCTATATACTTTTTGGTGATGATTCAAAATTTTATTTTTGAGTTATTGAGTATTTTGTAAAAAAAGGGGGAGGGGTTTTTCACATGTCGCGCCGTATCTCAAAAACGATTTATGATTATTGCTTAAAATTTTACACATTTCTTAGTTATATTTATCTAAAGATTTGTATACTTTTTGGTTTTGATTAAAATTTTATTTTTGAGATTGATTTTTTTTTTTTTATAGGGGGGGTTTTCACATGTCTCGCCGTATCTCAAAAACGATTTATGATTATTGCTTAAAATTTTACACACTTCTTAGTTATATTAATTTAAAGATCAGTATACTTTTTGGTTTTGATTCAAAATTTTATTTTAGAGATATTGAGTTTTTTGTAAAAAAAAAGGGGGGTTTTAGCATGTCATGCCGTATGTCAGAAACCATTTATGCTTATTGCATGAAAATTCACACACAATACGACGGGCGTATCATGCGCTCATGGCGCATCTGTTTATAAGTTTTTGTTCTCTACTTAAGTTAGCCTCAACCAAATGTTATGAGACTTACACACAATGCTTATTACCACAAAACTCAGATCAAGTTCAAATTTGGGTAGCGTCACTTTTACAGTTCTTCAGTTATGTCCCTTTATACTATATGATATGCAAACAGGGGCATCATCTGTGTCCACATGTGGACACTATCCACATTTATTTTGTACTGCAACAATTAATTATGTGTACAATTTTGTTGAAGAAAACAAGTCTGTATCTTAAACGCCTAAGTTCAAGTAGGTACCAATTTACCTCTGTCATTATATCAGTAACTGAGCTGGTGTTGTGGAAGCAGTTGCATTTGAAGCAGGCTGCTCTTTTCTGAACTTTTTCAATTTGTGAAATTTGTTGTTTTTGATGTGGATCCCAAATGGTCGAGAAGTACTCTTATTTTGGTCGGACAAGAGCTTTGAATGTATGAACTTAAACTTTAGGTGAGGCTATTTTAAGGTTTCTGCGAATAAATCCAAGAGACTGGTCTGCTTTTGATGTCATGTTGTCAATATGTTTATTCCATTTTAAGTTTGATTGAAGAGTTAGGCCTAAATATTTTGTAGAGTCAACTTTTTCGAGTGAGTGATAATGTAATTTGTATGTGAAGTCTAAAGGTTTTCTTTTTTTGTGTTACATGTACAATGTTGCATTTATCAGGGTGAAAATGCATGAGCCAGTCCAGCTCGCATCTGCAGGCCGCTTTTAAATAAGACTGTAATCTATTTGTGTCATCCAGTTTCTTAATTTCTCTATTAATAATACTGTCATCTGTGAATAATCTTAAAGTAATATGTTGGATATATTCTGCCAAATCATTAATAAATATTAAGAATAAAATTGGTCCAGCACTGTGCCTTGTGGAACTCCAGATGTTAAAGGAATTTTATTTAATGTTTCACCTTCAAGGACTACTGTGTGTGTTTGTGTTCTGTTTTTTAAAAGTCTTGAATCCACTGTAATGCATTGCAATTGATACCATAGAAGTAGATTTTATGCATGAGGGGATGGTATGAAACTTTGTCAAATGCTTTTGAAAAATCCATTATTATGTCATTTATGATGTCAGTTTGAATGTTTTTATTTATTTGAATTTGCAAGATCTTGAAGAAATTTTATTAACTGAGTTTCACAGGAACGGGATAATAGAAAACCATGTAAGTCATATAGAATTTTTTTTTTAAGTGTTTCATGATATTACTAACTAACATGTTCTAATAGTTTGCAGTAAATGCATGTTAGTGATATGGGGCAATAGTTTATAGGATTGTGTTTGTCGCCTATTTTGAACGCTGGACACACACTTGCATGACGCTAGTCATCTAGGATCTTTTCCAGACTCTGGAATCCAGAGTACAGTGATATTTGAAACATGATTGACAAGATGGGAGTGATAGATGTCTTGCACTCTTTTAAGATTTTTCCATGGATGAGATCAGGCCCAGTTGCAGTTTGTTTTGTTTGTTTGTCTAAACATGCTAAACATCAGCATTTAAGCAAGCACTTGACTCAAATTGGAATAAATAATTTTTTTTTAAAAGACAACATTCAGATATGGTCTGTTTCTACATTATATGCCTTTGAACTGTGTCAAAAATTTACTTCTTATGAATTTCACAGTATGCTGCTACAGATTTGAATCTCATATCATCAAACCCTGTAGTTAGGGATTGTTGATATTAGTTTAGTTGATAGAGCAGTGGCATATTGTGCCAAGGGTCTTAGGTTCATTCCCCATGTTCCCTGGGTGAAAAATAAAATAACAAAAATACCGAACTCCAAGGAAAATTCTAAACGAAAAGTCCCTTATCTAATGGCAAAATCAAAAGGTCAAACACATTAAACGATTGGAAAACAACTAACATATTCCTGACTTGGAACAGGCATTTCCTTATGTAGAAAATGGTATATTAAACCTGGTTTTATAGCAAGCTAAACTGTTAATTCTGGAAGGCAAATCATACTGTGTTGCACGTCTGTGAAAAAGTTTATTGTGGCATAACTTATATTAACACGATTAAGGCAATGCTGTAATAGTCTTGATAAATTTGATTTTCCATGCTTATCATTTTTGCCAACACTTCTGATGCATTTTTTTTTAGATTTTTTTTACATAAAATAGATTGACCTGAAAGTGTAAGAATTTCAATAAGATTCTAATTAATGTTTTAGATAACAAAAGAAAAGGAGAAGAACAAACAGAAAATCCATCAGCCAAAACCAAGAAATTAGAGAAAAAGTGCAGTGATTTGATTGTGTTAGGTCTGCCTTACAAAAGTACAGAAGAAGACCTTAAAACCTATTTTTCAAAGTATGGAGAATTAGTTTTAGCACAGGTTCGTTGAAAATTGAATGTAAAATAATATATGTTGATAGATATAAGAAGATGTGGTATGAGTGCCAATGAGACAACTCTCCATCCAAGTCAAAATTTATAAAAGTAAACCATTATAGGTCAAAGTACGGTCTTCAACATGGAGCCTTGGCTCACACCGAACAGCAAGCTATAAAGGGCCCCAAAAATTACTAGTGTAAAACCATTCAAACGGGAAAACCAACGGTCTAATCTACATAAAAACGAGAAACACTTAAAAATCACATCAACAAATGACAACCACTGAACATCAGCTGGTTCCTGACTTGGGACAGGTGTAAACAAATGTATATTTTATATTTATTTATTTAAATGCACAGTTATATGGGGTTGATGGCATACATGAAATTCACAATATAACACACTATACAGGGTCACCACACTTCAAAATTTTAAGAGAGAAGTGGCTTCTTCCTCGCAGCCAAACTGGGAGAAGTTGAGACCCAACAGAGAGAATTGAGTCATGGCATTAATGATTTTTATGAATTAAATTTCCCAGCATCTATACCTTTTTGTTATTTTTCGGAGCCTTTAGCATGACAACTGTTAGGTGTTATTTTCTTGTCTTGAGGCATTATTGAAAAAATAAATCGATCAAAGCTGCTTCTCAAAGCTTTTTCATACAAAAGACTGTTTAGATTTGCTTACAAATGTGCTAAATACATAATACATCACAAGAATAATAGAAGTACACGACATAATATATGTATGTACATATCATGCAGTTGGTGACTGAATCTACTCTCCTCAGTGACAATGACTAATTAATAAATGGAGCAGGATACTGCATAAAACAGGGGACATGAAAGACATAAACCAAGTTATCAAAGTTATCCATATAATTTTAATTTATACTTGAATAGCTAGGTATTTCTAAATTTCTGTATAAATTCAAATCTCAAGTTTTCATTTTGGCATAAACGCTCTTCTCTTTTTAAATTTCTGTACCTCCCCCTTTTCAATTTCCAGAATATGGTCAGACTCTCTTGCCCTTAATCAATTAAAACTTTTCCTGGTTTCAAAATTATTTTTATGCCCCCGCTGTAGCGGAGGGGGCATTAAGTTTTACCGTTGTCCATCTGTACGTACGTACGTCCCAAAATTGGTTTCTGTTCTCTAACTTGAGTTTGCCTCAACCAAATGTTATGAAACATAATGCTTATTGCCATAAAATAAAAATTAAGTTTGAATTTTTGTGGCGTATCCTTAACAGTTCTAGAGTTATGCCCCTTTATTAATGGAAAAATTCCAAAATTTTTAGTTTCCGTTCTCTAACTAAAGTTTGCCTCAACCAAGTGTTATGAAACTGATACACAATGCTTATTACCACATAATACAGATCAAGTTTGAATTTTGGTAGCGTCACTCTAACCGTTCTAGAGTTATGCCCTTTATAAATGAAAACATTACAAAATTTTTAGTTTCCGTTCTCTAACTTAAGTTTGCCTCTACCAAATGTTATGAAACTTATACACAATGCTTATTACAACAAAACACAGATCAAGTTTGAATTTTGGTGGGGTCACTATAACCATTCTCGAGTTATGCCCCTTTATAAATGGAAAAAAAAAAATGCAAAATTTTTAGCTTCAGTTCTCCAACTTAGTTGCCTCAACCAAATGTTATGAAACTTGTACACAATGCTCATTACCACAAAACACAGATCAAGTTGAATTTCGGTGGATTCATTTAACCATTATCGAGCTATGCCCCTTTATAAATCAAAAAATTGCAAAATTTTTAGTTTCCGTTCTGTAACTTAAGTTTGCCCGAACCAAACATTATGAAACCTATACACAATACTTATTACCACAAAACACAGATCTAGTACAAATTTGGGTAGCGTCACTTTTATTGTTTTTGAGTTATGTCCCTTTATAATGTTGTATGCAAGCGGGGGCATCATCTGTGTCCATGGTGACACATTTTCCATTTTCTTTAAATATAAATATAGCTGGATGTTATAATTCTTTTAACTTTACTATATATAGTGATGGGGCCATCATGGGGGAGTTTGTCCATTTGTTCTTCTGTCCCACTTTTTTATCTTTGACTGCTCCTGAACCACTTGACAGAATTTCTTGAAACTTTCATAAAATCTTACTCACATGATCATGATGATGTACTTTTGCACCTTTTTGTTTATTTCTTCATCTGAATGATTTTTATACCCCGTTTACGGGACGTATTATGGTATACCGTTGTCCGTCTGTCCGTCGTCAACATGTCGGACATCAACTCAAAAATGCTTTAACCAAGTTGCATAAAACTTTGGTGAATTGTTTATATCTATTGACGTGAGCTCACTTTCGTTTTTTATAAAATTTAGATTTTACGTTTCCGAGTTATGGGGTTTTATTCATTAAAAAAAGGGGGATTTTCCAGTTTTGTTTGTATGTATTGATGTAAGCTCCCTTTAGAATTTTATAAATTTTACCTTTTACATTTTTGAGTTATGGGGTTTTATTCATTAAAAAAAGGGGTGATTTTCCAGTTTTCGGACAATAACTCAAAAATGCTGTCACCAATTCTCATGAAACTTTGGTGAATTGTTTATATCTATTGATGTAAGCTCCCTTTTTATTTTCATAAATTTCTAATATGACATTGAGAATTGATTGAACTTTATTTGTTTATAGTCTGACAACAGATTTACTAAGTATTGCACAACAGCAAGAAATCTTTAATTGAATATAAATTCAATTCATATAACCAATTTCAAGATCTTTGACTACATTTATTCAGAAACCTATAATATGTCAAATATTTAATTACAATCCAAATTCAGACCTGAATCAAGCTTGAATATTGTGTCCATTTTTACCCCAACTGTTCAGGGTTGGACCTCTGCGGGCGTATCTAGCTGCGCTCAGCGAAGCAGTTTATTGGAGTTTGTTTTGGGATGACAGTAACCTTCTCATATCTGCACACTATAGTACACATTTTGTGGGTATCCATTTTGAATCTGCAACTCCTCCTTAAACCCTTATTACAATTATATTTGTTGAAACTTTCTCACAATCAAAACCATATAATACTAATTATGCTAATTTTGTTTTTGATCAATACTTTTTGGGATTTTTGTAAGCAATATATATACTTCAAATGCAAGGAGCCATAGCAAATGATGGACTTGTCTTCAAATGCAAGGAGCTGGGGGTATCATTTTAAGAGTTCTAGTTTTATAATGTGAAGCTGAATTACACATTCAATTGAAGTTATAGTGACAAGTAAAATCAACTGCAGTTCTGCACACCCTGTTATCAAGAGAATAGTCTATATCTACTATTAAAGCTTTGTAGTTTCATTGGGATGTGAAAGCTTTGGCTATAGAAAATGTCTTTGAAGCACAAAAGCACTTCAGCCAAAAAAGACATGAAGAGTGCAATGACCATGTTGATTAGAAACTGTTCTTAAATGTAACTAACAAAATGAAATAACTTATTCAGCACAATTTTTATACGACCGCAAATTTGCGGTCGTATATAGGTATTGCGTAGGAGTCGTCGTCGTCCGAAGACACATTGGTTTTCGCACTCTAACTTTAGTTTAAGTGAATTGATCTCTATGAAATTTTACCAAAAGGTTCAATACCACAAAAAGAAGGTTGGGTTTGATTTTGGGGGTTATGGTACCAACAGTTAAGGAATTAGGGGCCAAAAAAGGGCCAAAAATAAGCATTTTTGTAACTTCCAGACAAAATCACCAATTCACCAACATTCCAACTGACTCCATTTTCAGAAAACGACATCTGTAACAAACATAAACTTTTAGCTACCGCTTTACAAGCAGAACCAAATACAATGAAAGTCCCAACTATGTATTGGCTTCCGAAGCTACACAAAACACCTTACAAATATAGATTCATTTCGTCTTCAAGCCATTGTTCCACTACTAAATTGTCTATTCTTCTTACCAGTACACTTGGTACAATCAAAAACCTGATAATAAATTGTTCAAATAAGGCCTTCGAAAATAGTGGAATTAATTACTTTTGGAGTGTCAAGAACTCGTTGGAAGTACATGCATATATTGGTGATTTTGAATCTGTTCAAAGTTTAGATTTTTCTACCCTATATACCACATTGCCTCACATTCTCATTAAGAAAAAATTCACACACCTAGTTAAATGGGCATTTAAAAAGTCAGAATGTGAATATATATGTTCAAACTCTTTTAGGTCATTTTTTAGTAGCAATAAACAAAAAAACTATGTCAATTGGACATGCTTTGATACTATATATGCCCTTGAATTTTTACTAGATAACATTTTTGTTCGCTTTGGAGATTCCGTATATCGTCAGGTTATCGGAATTCCAATGGGGACTAACTGTGCACCACTTATTGCGGACCTTTTTTTGTATTGCTATGAGTTACAATTTATGACAAAAATCAGCAAAGACCCATCGAAACAACATCTGATACACAAATTTAATAATACTTTTAGATATTTGGATGATATTTTGGCTCTCAATAATGACGACTTCAGTATGTATACTTAAGAAATTTATCCTGTTGAACTTACTTTAAATAAAGCTAATACTAACAATGACCACTGCCCTTTCCTCGATCTTGATATCTATATCATTAACGGAAAGCTTAATACTAAAATATATGATAAAAGAGATGATTTTTCATTTCCTATCGTTAATTATCCATTTTTAGATGGTGACGTTCCCTTGTCACCATCTTACGGTGTTTATATATCTCAACTTGTACGATTCGCTCGTGTATGTAACAATGTTTTAGATTTTAACGAGAGAAATTTATGTATTACTGAAAAATTATTACACCAGGGTTTTCGATATCACAAACTAGGCAAAACATTTACTAAATTTTATCATCGGTATAAGGACATCATTAGAAAATATAGCTCAACATGCAGACTTCTTATACGTTCAGGTATTTCACATCCTAATTTTTTATGGAAATATTCTTTATAAAGCACAAAAATGTCAGTAT